ATTTCTTCAATGGTGTCTTAGAGCCCGGCCACAGGTCCTGGTTAATCCTAAAGATCAAACACAAGTCTATATTGGTATCAAAACATACGAACAATATGTCACCAAATAATTATTAATACTGATTTACATCAGATGTCAGATTATTGTTGATAGAAAGTGGTTTTAGGTGTGTGTGGCTTCTATTAGGGTCTGTCTATTGAAATGTACACTTAAGGCCCACAAATGCCAGCATAAATTACAATATAGACAGAAGAATAATACATGTCTATTATCTAATGCATAAGAGATTTTAAAACCAGAGGAGGGTGGCGTAGTCAAGTGCAAGAAACACAAATGTTAAAATCATTTAATATCAACAATGTCAACATAAAGCTTTTGTCAGTTATGAACTCACAGTAGGAAGAGTAAACGAAAACTTTACTCAAGTAAGAGAACTTCAACAAAAATATTTCTGAAGTAGGAGTACAAACTTTTTACAATTATAGACTGTTAGACATCTTTTTCTCATGTCATGCTACTGTTTGGTGTAGCGGAGTTTATTCTAAAGAGTTTTTCACATTGTCTCCTCTTCGTCACTGGAGTCGGAGGTGTCTGAAAGGATCAACTCCTCGACAGCATTGGGTTGAACATCTTTTTTCATTTTGACCTGTGACACAGCTTTGTCACTCAAACACTGCCACTGCCTCTGCAACAAAAACATATAAAATTGTAAATTTTAGGTTTCGTTTTCATTTTTTCTTTTCAAAAACAAAATAAAAATGGGCTTCAGTATTGATTTCATGATCGCTAATAATACAGACAAAAAATAGCCAAATTTCTTCCTCTAAACTCTTCACTTTACTGCCAAATGATTGGCTGAAAAGTAATAGACATGACAAAATCTTGTTCTCAGTAAAAAAAAAAAAAAACATTAATTGCCCAGTTCTAGTGCTAAGTATAATTTCATTAAACTGACAAAAATGTGTGAAATGTAAATGAAGTGGTCCATTGATAAGTGCAGGGGATTGATTGATTTTTTTAAACTTTTTTTCATGGCTGATGCTGATTGTTTAAACTCCATATAAACCAATGGCTAATGACCTCTGTCAATATTTTTGGACTGATAGGTATTTTTTTTCCAAAAGATATCTAAAATCCAAAAAATCCAAAATATCAAATTCAAATTTAGTATAAACTCATTCACAAACTTCTTTTACTACAAACTGTGTAGGGAACCGTGTATCCATGTTTTTACAATACTCTCTTTGGACTAAAGTGTGCAAACAAAGCTTTATGCATATATTTTTCAGGCACATTTAGGCTGCTGGTTGCGTCAAACAAAATACTGGCCTCTGCTGTAGATTCATGGGCAACAGCCCATGTGCCAAAATGGGTAAATATCAGTCTATCTCTGATGTGTGGTCCTGTACTTACCTGGACATCCTGGGATCGGAGGCGGCATTTGGCGGCAATATCTTCCAAGACACGAGACATTTCTTTGTCCATGAGCTTTGCGTGTCCTGACATTATTTCCTGGAACTTTTCCAAGTGGAACCTCTGCTTTTCTGAACAGAAAAACACACAGAAGTATGAATATCTTGTATTGTTTGACAAAACAGAGCGGACTCATTTTCCAGGATTACATCTCTCTTAAAACTAAACGATAGAATATGGGTTAATCTTACCTTTGTGGATGTGATCATATTTGTATTTCACTTCCATTATTGCCAGCTCCTGTTTCTAAGGGAAATACATACATGTTAAAAGCTTACATATTTTTAAAAAAACAACACAGCTACATAGACTACATACTATATATATACTAAGTAAAGAGATTGATTGCATGGATAATTTGCTGTTAGTGGTTGACTGTGGAATGCTACCACAAATCAAAAATGAAAACATTCTGAATAATAAAAGTTTTAAATATTTAGGTTATTTTTATGAATTACAGAGTGAAATTCTGAGAAAAATTTGATTTTTACATTATTCATAGTAAATAAACCAGCTGTAAATTTATTTTATTGAGACAGGGACAGCGCACAATTTTTACATTAACCTTAACAGGAGAGATGCACTGTACATCAGGTTGTAGCATCAGTGCTAATTTCCATCTGTAGTCCCTGGGCAGATTCATTGATTGATTGTATTTAAGTGACCTTGACTATCAACTGTTCTTTATGGAGACCTATGTAGCATGTTTTGGGTTGATGGGGAAAACCGGAGCGCCTGGAGGAAACCCATCCAGACACGGGGAGAAACATGCAAATTCCACACAGAAAGGCCTGGGTGACCCCGGGGATCAAACCCGAACCTTTTTGCTGTGAGGCATGAGTTTTAATAGCAGGCATGAGGGCCGTGGTGGCTGACTGGAGGTGAAATGAGGTGTAACTCGCCGCCACTTTTGTCCATTGAAAACACATCTGACGAGATCTCGTCTCATCCCAAAAACATGTGTTTTAATTAAAGATAAAATAATGTGTCTAGTTACGTTGTACTCACTAGCATCATCGCTTTTAAACATTTGTCCACATTACTCTTCTTCTCCAGGAGGACGGCCTGTAGAGCCTCTCTCTTCTGGTACAGGGCCAGCTCTCTCTCCGTAAACTCGTTCATCATCCTGCCCCGAGACGCTGCAGCCTGGATCTTCAGCTCTGATATGGCATTGTAGTGCTCCAACTTCACATGCGCCAGCTGTGTATGGACTTGCTACAAACAGTTAAAATAGTGTTTATACATTATAATAGATATATAGCATCATTAAGTTGCGAAGATAACTTAAAGGGGACACATAACGTAAAACTGGCGTTTTTCACCATGTGATAAAAATGATTCATGAATATTTGAGTATTGTATTGTTCTGGATGTGAGACTTCAGTTCTCAAGAAATGTCAGTTTTCACTTACCCCATATCTGTACCCACTGTAATGTACTTGGTATTACTGTATGGTTATTCTAAAAATCAATGAAAGGTAAATCACAATAGGCTGCATAGTTTAAACTGCAATATTCTTCTAAAATGACTTAACCAGAACACTGACTGAAAAAATGTCATCACAACAAAGAGGCGTGAAGTTGTCAGCAGATGGATAGCTGTACATATGAAACACTGCATATTTTTAAAATTTGTACCCAAATGACTACGCAACACTGCCGAATCCCACGTGTATCACCGATTAAGAAAATAAAACTGGAGAATGAAGTAAGTACAGAGCAGTGGGCATATACTGGTGGCGGTGAGAACGGGTTGATCAGCAATATGGCGTCTTGACAGTAAGTGATTAAAGATTACTCAAATATAAATACATGAATCACTCTAAATACAACTTTGAGTTAATGAGATGGGGAAACAATAACATGGCTAAAAGCGCTGAAAAGGCTATTTTGCATATAGGTTGGGAGATCATATTACAGGCTGGTTAAAAGTTGGTTTAGGAAAATTTGAATAGCATTAGACCATTTATTTTTATAGTCTTGTGGCTTGCTGTATTATTTTCTACTCAGATTAGCCTTCTAGGTTTGCTTGATTTTAAAGTAATTTAGTACCTCGACTACCTCAGGACTTAAAGGGCCCATATTACACATTTTCTGATCAAATTTTATTTTCTTATCTCATCAAAAACCTGGAGTTGTGTTTTGTTTCATTCACACATATTTAACATGCAAACCCTACATATTTAGGCTGACTGTGATCAAACAGAAAGCACCCTGTTGCACCTTGTGATGTCATGTGGTACTACAAGAAGTGCTCCACTGTGTTTTTAAACTCCATACACCTTCACTAGAATCATTTGGATAATTTCAACCTAATATCTACTGAACAAAAGATAAAAGGTATCTGTTAACTTGAAAACTACCCCTTCATGACATCACAAGGTGGAACAGAGCATTTTGAGCTTTGGAGTTACTCAAACATATATGAATGAAACAAAACACGACCCCAGGTATGTTTTTGATGAGGTAACAACATTACAATATGGCTTAAAGCTCATAAGAGTTAAGTTTACATATTATAGGGGCTTGATTGATTGATTGATTGGGCCATGGCCTTTTGTAGCTGGGTTAATGAGCCTAAATAAAATTGTTTCACATCCAAGTTCACTCAATTTCTACAAGCTTAAAGGCGCACTATGTTACTTTTCTAGTGCAGGGTCTGTCTCCATGCTTGCCATATTCCACAGTAGGGCATTAAATTTATCTTGCGCCAATGAGACAGCGGGTGACACCAGTAGGCCATGTTACAAGCCAGATCTGTGGAAAGAGTGTATGTTTTTCAAGGTATTCTTTTAGCCATAAAACTGAATTATTGATAGTGTGTAATAGATTTGTTTAATGCCATAGTGTGGAACATCCCAGGAAAAGCAGTATTTCTTTGGGCACAAGCAGAAAAGTAACATAGTGCACCTTTACATAACTAAGAAAACTACAAACTACCCTGTCTTATTATTAGCCATTTGATGTGACTGTTGGCTTAACGTGGTCCCTTTAATATTCATTCATGATCATCCTTTATGACATCTAAGCTGTCACGTGCAAGTAAACATAGGATTTCGTTCTCTCTCAAATCCTATATGCAAGAATAATTTGCATTTTAAGGACACATATAACGCACAGGAATGTCTTTTCTTTCTTTCAGATTCAAATCCGGCCCGTGGTTTGAGTGCCGTCAGTGTTTGGCCCCCAGCAGCTGGTCGGCGGTGTGAGACGAACCAGGACACGGGAGCAGACACGAGACACGCCGCTGCACCTGACCCCTTTGCCCCCATCTGCCCCCTCTGCCCCCCTCGCCTGCTGTCCGCCCCGGAGGTCACTCACATAAAACGGGCTTTCTCCTCCTCTAGGCCTGGTCCTGGTCTGTATCCAACCCCCGAGTCATGTCCGGGCGTTCCCCCTGCCAACTAAACACTTCGACCCCCAAAGCTTTCCCAGGTTTCTGCAACGTGGGTGAGAAAACGTAAGACTACGACGCCCTCTTGTGGCTGATCCCGGCATTTCTACAGTCTAAATTCTCAGTCAATCACTCCATTTACAATTTGTTTAATTTTAAAACACATCGTCCAAGCTCAAGAACCACATTTTTTTTTTACATGTACACATTTTAAACTTGCAAAAAGGTAAAAACAAACACTACTGTCATTAAGAACAAAATAAAAGTCTATTATTCACATTAATGAACCATCTGTGAACAAACAAGGCTAAAAAAATGTAAAAAAAATGTAAGCAAAATGTTAAAATGAACCAAATTTATGCCTTCAGAGATTTTAAATGTTCGTATTATGTACAGCAACGCATAAACGATGAAAAGAGAAAGACTTCACCAGAAATGAACTTAAACAGGCCTTATTGAATACAAAATTTGGCTCATTTTTAAAAACCTTTCACATTTGGCCTAAATATTGAGATTTAAAAGGGAATTTGTGTATATCTGTTATATTTTGTGCAACACATTTGTACAGTTTGCGTTACTTATCCTAATCTGAAAACTCGCCAACAAAAAGACATAAAATACAGCTTTCACTGACAAAGCTGGCCAAAAATTGTGGTTTATATCAGTCCCTTCACAGCATCACTGTTACATACATTTTAAATGCTAAAACACATTTTAGAGACACCATGTTGCCATTTCATAAGGATAATTTCTCACGGACATACCCTTATGGATGTTTTTACAATATATTGAGGAGATAACTTTGAAATATTGGAAGAAACTCGAGATTGGATTGCGCTTAATCCAGCCACTAGGGGTCACAAACCACTGTAATGTGTGCAGAAAGCAAAATCAGTCAACTAATGGAAGGGCATCGGATGTAAAACTTTTGTTAAAAGGAAGATGATTTGCCATGACAACCCAAAAATTTAAAAGAAATAAATCTGGTGAGTGGTGAATTAAGATATGAGACATTTACAAGTTGCTTCGTAACAATACAGACTTCAGTTCCTCTTTGTCCCATGTAAGTTTTTACAATGTTTGTGCTTCCAGTATTACACAGTGGTCCTTATTTTCTGTCTTTGTAAAAGCTCTGATCACACAAGCTGCCTTTTCTTCATCTTCAAGAGATTCACGGCATATGCTGGAATGAGCTCACAGTTTCATAAACCACAGAGTCTTCAAAATAAACTGCCAGAGGAAATAATAATCCAAGAAAAACAAAAAAAAAAAAAAAAAAAGAGTAAAAAAAAGTAGATCTTTTAAGACGTGCAGAAAAACTGGTCCCACGTTTAGTTAAGACAAAAAAACATATTTCAGTATGAGTTATGAGTTATGGTGTGTTATGCATTTCCATAAACCAGAAGTTATACCGTACTTGCATTTGAGGCTTTGAAAGACCTGAGATGGTGAGATGAATTGTCTAAAAACTAGGTCAAAAATGTTAAACTACTGTGCGATGTCTATACAACAAGTAAGGCTCCTCCTCTCCTAAGACAATGAGTGAATATACAGTACTTAACATATAACCAGAACAACTAGCAGTAGTATCAATTAGGCCTGTCATGATAATTACTATATCAACTCATCAATCAGTATATGAAACCTGGAACTATTCATTTTGGGGTTCAATATTTAGCGTGACCCTCCCCACTGCCCTGTGTACAATTACTTTGCAATAACGGGGGAGTTTCTTTTATTTTAGTTGTAATGCAAAAAGATTTGAGCTGTAGAGAATTGAAAAATGTAACATCTATGACTTCAAAATGTGTTATCGTGACAGGCCTAGTATCAATGTACCCTTAGACAAAAAAGTTGACAAGTTTTTAAATGCAGTTCTTTAAGCTCCATCAGCACCATTTTAGGATTTGTCCAGTGGTAATAGTTGTCATTTTAGTCTTCAACGCCTTCTGACCAATGTCTTTTGAGATTGTGAAAAATTTGTGGTAAAAACTTGAACAGAAAACATGGGGAGTTGAATGGGAGGATGCAGGTTTTCAGTGGGACGTAGAGCTGTTGGGGTCCGGTCGGCTGTTGGCCAGGTACTTGGCTCTCATGCTGGAGGTGTACTGTGGAGAGACAGAGCAAAATAATCAACTATTATATCAATATACAAACACAAAAAACACAAGATGATACCGAGTTGGAGAGAGTTGGACAGAGTTGCCCATAAAGTTGAATAATAAATTAGATCAACCCAGCAGGCCACTGGGTCATTGTAGAAGCGATGAAGTGCCCAGGGACTCATCTCCAGATCCAAAGATTAATACTTTCCACTGACATCATGCTGGGGGTGTTCTACATGATTCTTTAATGGTGGAATGTTTAGGAGTTACCGTGGTGACACAATGCACACATTAGGAAAGATTGTGGGAATTTATTTATTTTTTTAAATAGACTGAAAACTCAACGAACTACTGGTAATTCTAATTCTTACTAATTCTATGACCATGACAAATTGCTCATCTCTTGTAGTTCCAGCTAAGTGAGTTCTTTATGGTCAGATTGTGTTAAAAAGCACAGATTAAAGTCTAATAAAGCCTCAGACTGAGCAGTTTAGCATCACACCCCCAGAGAATGTTCATGAGATCAGCTGCAAAGTATCACTTGTGCAAGTTTTGGGGCACTACATGCTTCACGTGGCAATATTCACATCACAGTCCAAATGATTCCAACAATATGGGCAAAGGTTTATAAAGACACAGTATTATATCAATGAGGGATTTTCTTTCTTGGGTAAACTCAAAAATATTTATAACACAACACCTTTTATCAACCAATCCACCTAAAAAGCGTTACAATTATAACCATAGAAAATCCTTCATTGATTATCTATAATAATGCTGTCAATCACAAGGCTTAGGAATCTAATCTATAGAACACAAATAAAACACCCAAAGAGGACGAGGACAATATGTTTTTCTTTATTATCATTCTGATCTGTGTACGCCCAGGACCCACCCAGGTTTCATGAATAAGTGGAGCAAGCAGAGACATCTCAACACACAAATACATATGTTGTTTTGTAAACTCCTGGGACAAGATATGATCACATGGTTAAAACGTTTACACTGAAAAAAGGGGAAAAAGTACTACTCAACAATTTAAGGGCAATTGTTTTCTTTGGATCAACAAAATGCCAGGTCAACAGCCGATATTTGCACTTTTTAATATACTGGCTATCGGCCTTAAATATCCAGCAGAAACCGATATTTTGTTTTGGCTGACCTGCTGCGTAAAGTGCACACAGAAAGCTTTCTTGAACACATCAGTGCTCTCTTATTTATTTATGATAAAAAGCTCTTAGTTTGTAGTAAATTTAAATGACATAACTTGAGGAAAATAGTGAAAACTGGCCCTCGATATTGGCCCAAAAAGCTTGTCGGCCATTGATTTCTCTGTATTCTAAACAATGAGTATCACCACCGGTCATGAAAAAATCTTTACATCGATCTCCAATATCTTTTTTTTTTTTTTTGTAGCATATTTGTCTGTGTGCTGTCTTTTTTAATGTTGTATTGACCAAGTAAGTGTCTGAAATAAATTTTGCTGATGAACAAAAACAAAAAAGTCAAAGAGTATCAAACAAACCAAACCCAAATACATTTCCCTCTCTTTCTTCAGCCCAATAAACCATTTCATCCTTTATTATCGACCCTATGCGGAGCTCTGGGCACGTCCCACCCCTCACATGCTCCTCTTACATCAGAAAAGGGGAGGGCAACATGCAGCCCGGGGCCACAGAGAAACAAAAACAGGTGACACACTCAGGTGAACACTTAAAGAAGTCAGGACAAGGAGATGCAGGATCTAATAGCCCCGATCGGACTTTGAAAAGGGGTGAGAAGGGGTCAGTTTTTAGGAAGGAGTGCTAGGCGGGGGCAACAGGCCGCAGGTTTGGGAGTATTAGGGGCAGTTTTGTACCTGTGAGCGAGGATGATGAGGTTACCAAGGTTACCAAAACGACCTGGAGCTGTCCGAAGGCTTTAACTGCCAACTCTGACCACTGTTACTGTCCGCAGCGGCCAAATATTGAAACTGAGGTGCGCAGAGAGAGAGGTGGAGAGTGAAGTGTGGTTTTAAAAAGAGAGAAACAAAGCAGAGTCTGGGTGTGGACTGACAAAGAAGACATGAGGGCAGGGGCAAGTTTATTTGTGAATGCGATACCGCCAAAATGTGCCCAGTCAAACACCAAAGAACGGCATTTCAAGTAGATTCAGTTATACACCTTCTATAACAGGCCTGGGAGCTCGGGGAATATTGTCCAAGCACCCACAATAAAGACAGAGGATTCAACAGGTCTAGAGTTTCATAGCAGCTTTCACAAAGGCTGCCAAATAACCCACAGGTCTTTCCAAAGTTGTTTTTTTAAAGATGCACTGTGTAACTTTTCAGGAGGAAGGTGCGCCACTAGTTTGTCTTGATAGAGATGATATTGTTTTGTCTAGATTTCCACAGTTTGGTGCAATATTTATTCAATTACAAGGTTTGAGTGCTCAAAAATACCTGCAAAAACATGTATTCTTATTGTGAACAGGGTTGATGCTCCACAGATCTGATTTGTAATTTGGCCTGGTGGTGTCAGTAAGTTGTCGTACTTCAACTTCTAAGTACCCCTTAAGATAATATTTGGTTTTCTAAGTACCACCAGGTCTAAATCCAGACATTATGAGACCTAAATTAGGGTTAAAATATGGTCGAAAATGAGACAAAACTTGAACAAGGTAGTTATAAATACTGACCCAAAAAGGACAAAAACATAAATATTTGTCTCTAAATGAAACATCTCAAAACGCAGATGGTCCCATGTACCACCAGAGGCTGCCCGTACCACATGCAAAGCAATAACATCTCCATGGAGACAAGCAGGTGGCGTACCCATCTCCAGAAAAGTGACACAGTGCGCCTTTAAATAAGAAATGCGGGACTTACTGAAGGGGGAGGAGACTCTCGTCCAATCAGAGGAGTGTTTTCACAGCGCGAGTTCTGGAAGTTGGCGTTCTGAGCCCTGCAGGTCAAACACAGAGTGAGACGGTGCCAAATAAAACAAGTTTCTTACAGATGAGAAACATTTTAAACATTATGGATTAGGGATGTCAAGATAATTCATTTAATCAATAACATCGGATTACTCAGGTCACAATATAATCGTACTAACAAAAAATTACAATCCTGACCATTTCAGAAGCAAAACTAATTTATTACAACTGAAACTTCACTCCATAAAATCTAATTCAAATGGAATGCGTGTTTTGTTTTTATTGCCAGTTTAAATCTCGCTAACTTTTCTTTATAATTCAGTATAATTTTGGTTTGTTTGAGCCTGAGTCACACATATTTGGTCACATATTTGAGGTGGTGATGTATTAAAAGGTCCTATATTACAAAATAGTTTTTTGAGAGTTTGAAGCCATGTTATAATGTTATTACCTCCTCAAAAAACATACCTGGAGTTGTGTTTTGTTTCATTCATATTTGAGTAATCCTTTATTATTAGTCTGTCTACATCTCCAAAACTCAAAATGCTCTGTTCTACCTTGTGATGTCATGTAGTGGTAGTTTTTAAATTAACAGCTACATTTAAACTTTTGTTCAGTAAAGACTGGCAGTTCCAGGGCTGAAATTATCCAAATGATAATAACAACATTATAACACAGATCAGAAAATTGTGTAATATGGCCCCTTTTTAAACACTGGAAAATAAGGACTTTAACTATTTGCTCATGGTGTCCGTAATCTTAAAAGTGGTGATGTTTCTTCTCACTGTAATACTAAAATCTGATATTTTGACATCTCTTTCAACACGAAACCAGCGCCGTCAGCCTGGCCATAAGCAGAAACACTATATACACAGTGACAGTGATGAGGTGTCCTGTGGCCCATTGCACTGTTAAACCCCAGGCTCTGTTTTCATTGATTTCACAGCTGGAGAGCGACAGCTGCAAAAGCGACTCTTCACTGGGTCCCTGGAGAAATCTACTGGTGTCTGAGCACATAAGCCCTGTACGATTATTCACTCCTGAGGTCTCAGACTGCAGTGAAAATACAGAAAACTGCTCCTCACAGCACTATTTTTACTAAAGCACATTTAAACATCATTATAATTAGTAATATAATTCATTTCACCCCAGTTTCTGGCTCTTAACTTTACTTGGATTAAAATGTGAAAATTATGACAACTGTATTGTCTATGGAGCAAATCTTGTCCATTATTATGTGAACCTTAAAACTATATGATAATATATAATTCATTTAGTTAAATTAATGTTTAAAGGGTCACTAATCCTCATGATAAATGCTCCCTAAATTATATGTGGGCCACAGTGGGTTACATTCTGTGTCTGTGTCAAAATGTTTTAAAACTCAGCTCTACTTCCTGTAATTATCAACTTTACTTCCTAAACTACCACTTCATTGGTATAAAACTGATAATATTTAAATTGACCACAAGTGCACTCCCACCAAACCCAAGTGGTCTTAATAGAAAAATAAAATTCCTGTCATCTGCACTTCAAACTGTAAATATGTGTAGACTCACATGTACTCTGTGACCGGGGCGTTGCTAACGGTGTGTGCGGCGGCGGGGAGGCTGGTCTCGCTGCCGTAGGAGCTGCCGCAACTGTACAGACTGGGCATGTGCACGCGATACAGGTTATCATTGTTCTGTCTTCCCCCATGGCTCAGGGACTCATCCTCACTGTCGTCATCACTCCTGAAAAACAACACAAAACACTGTCAAAGAAATCACCACCAGGGGGAGCACCATCCTGTTTAAAAAATGTAACACTCATACACCACATTCTGTTGCAGTTAAGGTTTTATTGCTCCTTGAGTGACTAGACTGGAGTTGTCACATTATAAGAAAAACTCAAGGGAAAAACTCAAGGGTAAAGGACAACTCTGACATAATTTTTTAGGGGTTGTAATTATTAGGAGTATACGATACAAGACTGAAGCGGGCAAAATGAGAAATTCAATTTGTCAACTGGACAAAAATGTATTTGGTTGAATACATTTCGCAGCTCATCCAAGCTGCTTCTTCAGTTTTGGTCAGAATTGCTGATGGACACTTCCTTATATCTGTCTGCAGGGAGGAGCCAAATAACTACTCTGAAACTAACACATCTACTTGTTTACAGTTTCTGTTAGTTAGCGAGACCTATTGAACTGCCCTGAGTGTGGGGGTCTTATGAGCATAATCATTCAGGGACATAATGGGTGCTTTCACACCTCTAGGCCTGACCTGGCTATAGCTATCGTTCTCTTGTTTGTTTTGATTTAGGTTTGAGGATGGAGTTGTAAATAGAAGATAGATGGTGTCTGATCCCTGCAGGCAGATATAAGGAAGTGTCCACCAGCATTCTGACTAGAAATGAAGAAGCAGCTTGGATGACCTGCGAAATGTATTCAACTAAATAAACTTTTGTCCAATTGACAAATTTAATTTCTCATTTGCCATGGATTCTACCTGGACGACTGAGGGATTTTTCACACATACATGATTGAAAATAACATGTTTTCCTCCAAAACAAAAATAAAATAAGATAAAACTGATGCACATTTACTCTAGCAACTACATAACGACATTCTATTAAATAAAAGACTTTCTGAGATTTTCAACGCCAACTATGATACTGTCGATATTTGGAAGACATTTTCAGGATCGGTGCATCTCTAATAATATTTTTTGTCAGTATTGATACTTGTTCAAATGAGCATAATGGTTTTGATAATAGTTTTAGAATCGATTAATAACTGGATGTTGATACTTTTGACAACCCTAGACTCGACCAAATCACCACCACACTTTTTAAAATGTGTGTATAATTGATACTTTGCAGTGACATCACACTGGGGGTTCTCCAATACATTTCTATTGGTGGAATGTTCAGCAGTTTCCATGGTGACACAATGCACACATTAGCAAACACAGACAAAAAAGTTTTAGGATGGTCTGAAAACTCAAATTTTTAGGAAGTGTTGCAAGTGTTCTTGGTCCTAATTAGAGGTTTGATTTTCAACAAAAAAGGTGAGAGTGACTAACTGAAAAACTGTGATTGTAATTTTACTGTATATGTATAAGACTTGTAGACTTGTAAAAACACCTGTTTTAGTTTCAACCAAATCAGCTCTTTCTGGGCAGATTGTGTGAAAATAAAAAGCAGATTAAAGTCAAATTATGTAACAGAACTTCTAACAGAGTAGTGCTTTCAGTTAGCTTCACACCCCCAGGAAATGTTGACGATCAGCTGCAAAGAGTCAATAGCTTTTAGTTCTGCTATTGAAACAAAGAAAACCGATTATCCAACTCCCTAAAGTGCAAATGTTATGTAAATTTCCTCGTGTAAAACAAGAACACCACATTTGATTGCACTGGGCACATGTGAAGCCTCGGTAGGACTCAGTGGTGGTCGGGGTGAAAGGAAGCGCCAGCAGAGATCAGACCGATGAGCAGAGCCTCCTTCAGTGAGGAGCTAATTATTCTGCAGCTGAGCGCGCCCAGGAAACTACATTCATTACAGACATCCGGCAACGTTATCAGCGGCAGATAGCACAGAGAAATGAGCCTCACACACACAACCACACAGCAACGCCAACCCAAAGAAAGCGTTCATAGATTCAGGCCATCTAGGCACAATTAAGAGAGATAACAACGCTGCTTCCTATGTATGGGTTTTGGCTTCCTATTGTTAACATTATTTAGGACTTGGCATTCAAAAGATATAATACTTAGCTCAAATGTGTTAATCACTATGGGAATGGTGCAAATTTTTCATCATTTTAAAATACATGGATAGGTTGTGTTCGTGTTTGAGAAATTGATGATGTAATAATTTCAGATGGAGGAGACGAGCCTGTATTTCTATATTTCATTTTTTCTTGTACGTATACATTTATATAATTATGCCTTATTTCGCACCTGTCTCTTGGTATTTTTGCAACTTATTTAAAATGTATTATTACCAATATATTTTTTTGTCTTTTTATTGTGATGTGTGAGCTACTGTGTCCAAGTTACCATGTGGCCTCATTGTGTAATCCTTCAGTTGTTCAGTGAGGTTCCATATTGGCCCATGGGTGTATACTTAAGCCTATGCGGTCTTAAAACGTGTTCGATACAGCTCAAGATCATTCTATAGCTATTCAGGAAATTTCAATAGTAGTTTTAGTATTGATTAGTATCAGATTTTCTCTACTTTGACATGGATACAACCTATTTGAAAAAGAGAAATAAACATTACACTGTCCCAAAGATAAACACAGCAACTCCTCACACAAAAACATAGGAATGTAACAATAACTGAAATATTATGATATTGTATCATGAAAAGTCTCACAATAATATCAAATTGCGTTTCTTTGCTTAAATTCATTGTTACGGTGCAGCTGCACATTTACAGTTTTGTTAGCCTCCACAAAATATTGCAAAAAATATTGCCTTTCAAATATAGTATTGAGACATTTGGATATCGTTACCTGCCTACAAAAACACTTCTGCAGGTTTTGCCCTCTAAAACAGTCAGTATTTCATTGCCATGGCAGCTGGTGCTTACCTCTTGCCCCTCCAGGTGTGTGGCACGCTGCAGATGATGGAGCTGAACATGAGCGCGGTGACGAAGGAGAAGAGCACCAGGTAGATCAGGCCCTCCAGTCCATCGTAGCACAGTCCAGTCAGGGCCTGCACGTAATCCTGCAGTCAAAGGTAATGGTCAGTCACATGTAAAAAAGCTCTGAGCCAACTGTGGAAAATTAGAATAAAACAATGTCATTCTTTTTAACTCAGGCTAAAAAGTAGTATGTGACGTTACTGGTGGAGGGTTCAACACCTGATTCCCTCCATGGGGATGTTACTGCTTTGCCTTGAATGTTGGAAAAATAAATAAAGTAAATTTATTAATATACTCTGTATCTGTGTTGAGTGGCGACCATGCTCACGGTACGAATGCATGTTGTTGTTTTTTTTTTACATAAATACATCTGTATCTGACTAAATGCAAACAAGCTTATTAAGCAGGCTCATTGGCATACTGTGGAACATTACAACCAGCGCAATAGCATCTCCATGGAAACAAGCAGGTAGCATAATCCCCATGTAACCCCCCCTTTCTGAAATAGTAGCCGTGGAGCTCTCTTTCTTTTATGGAAATGCCTGGTAACCCATGCAAATGAATAATAATAATGATATAACAATTATATAAAATCACTATACTAGCAAGATAGATATGTTTACTTCAGTAGAGCAGGCAGCTCAGAAGGTGAAGAGCAACATAACTGAAGATGACAGTACTGGACACACAGTCAGGTGCTGTCTCTTAGTGTTATGTGTGACTGTACCAGGTGCAGGCTGCGGCAGTCCACCAGCGCAGTGAGCTGATGGAGGCTGATCTCTGTGCTGTTCAAGATGCCCTGGATCTCCTCCAATCGGCCCTGGGAACCAAAACAACACTGCACTGTTAAACTGGGATTAGTGCGAAAAATCAAGTCTGCCACCTTCAGTGTGATTATTATTGAGCTACAGAATAAAAGTGTCATCTTTGCACTTCGTGGAGTCTGTTTGGAGAGACTGCATGTTGGTTCAGAACAAAATGAATTGTTCTACACTAAGATTTAGGGATGTAACAATAACAGAAATATCAAAAGTAATAATATCATGGGCCATCACAATATATCGAATTACAAGTTTCTTAAATTAAGTTCATTGTCTTGGTGCAGTCACAGCTAAAAAACTGAGGGAATTACGTATATTACGACCCTTTGCTGTTTTTCAGTGTAGACTGCTTGAAGAAATAACTGTTTTTAAGCACTTTTAAATCTTAAGAAGGAAAAAAGTTGCATATTCACAATTCTGTAGTCTTCCCAAAATATCGCAGTAAATATCGTAATGAGCTATTGGGATATCGTTACATCCCTACTAAGATTATCAGGTTGATTAATCATGATACTTATTCAGGTCATAATATAGTACATGACAGAACTTCAAAGCAGTGGTTGTGATCAGTATGGAAGCAAAAATAAGCAACTTTTTCATAAAAGGAATGGATGTATTATAATCTATTAGACAATGTGAGTTGGGGATTTAACAGGTCGTTCAATAATCATACATTATGATGTTTCTTCTCACTATAATACTTAACAGTAAATTTTGATAATGTGACAAAAGTGATGAGTCACATAGTCAGACAATACTGAATTAGTGTAAAAGTATTTTTCTTTGTCAACATAATACATAATTTCCATTAATCAGGTAAAGCTTGAAACCATATTTTTTATTGAAGCTGGCCTGTGGAGGTAGTATTGATACATTATCATTAGTGTTTTGTAATGTTTTTAAAATCCACTGCTGATTGGACAAGCAGCTTCTCTTAATCTTTTGTGGACAGATTGAGAACCAAGATAATTCAAAACAAGATCGTTTTTATTACACCTTTTTGTATTAATTATTCTGTTCAAATTGTGGGTCTCACGTTGTTGGGATAACGTCAAGTCTCAGAGCAGCAGAAGTGGAAGCAGTCTTATTTCAGGTTGAACCAAACAGGATGTGCGTTTACTCCAGATGCTGATTGCTCAGTGTGATACATTTTAATCCACCTTTTTAAACCTGCTGTTACATTTGTGGGATAAAAGACCCAGGATCTGATATAAGTGTTTCCATCACCTCAGCACTTTCTCTGTGCGATTTGCCTCTCCCAATGTATTCCCAATGTCAGCTCTGATTTGTGCAGGGGCCCTAACAACAGTACTGTACGGGCACAGGGCCAATGGGAGCCTAATGTGTGGAAATGGATATAATGGACCTCCCAGGTGGACCAGTGGACCTTTATGTAGACAGGTGCACTCACTCTGTTTAGCCCACCGGACTCATTCACTGACCACAGGAACAAAGCATGTGTCCAGGACAGAGGGGGCTGTGTGTGTGTGTCTGTATATACGCACACAATGGAGACCTGACTTTTTTATGGGAGACAAAAATTGGGTATCATCATGTAAATTCTTCATAATTAGATAAATAACACGATTTAGAATTCAGAAACAAGTTAAAATAGGTTATGGTTAGGGTTTCAGTTAAAGGTGCTGTACCTGATTTCTGCAGTTTTAAAAATGTGATAAACTGAACTAGATCATATTAAACATTTTGCAGCAGTCTCAAGTTATTCTTTATCTTTTTCTAGAGTAGTAACTATCGTCAAGGTCAGGATCAGTCATACCCTGGTTTGTCTGTACTCTCCAGTGGCAGAGCGCAGAAGTTCAGACACGTCATCCTGCATCTCCACCAAAGCTTTGTGTCCCCCCGAAAGTTTCTGTAACAAAACACAATAAATACTAGTATTGTCTCCTTAGAACAATAGTTATCTTTGCATGCACACCAAAATTACATAATTGCCTGATGCTCTGGATTTTTAAGATGACTTAAATGACAACGTAAACCACAAAATCTGATGTGAGCAATCAGAGGGGCCATGATCAGAAGGAAATTTGATGATACTGCGGTTTACATTTAATTTGAATAATTTTATAACTCCAGAAATTTGATAATAATCTGATTTCAACAGAGTATGTGACCGCAGTGTGGTTTCCAAAATTTTTCAGACCCAGAATCAAAGTGTCAGACAAAACTGCAGACAACCAGTCCTGCAAACACACACTTAAACTAAAAAATTTGACTTTTTAATGTCATTTAAACAGTGAATAATACAGACTGCTGTTACAAATACAGAGATTTACAGATATACAAAGAGTTGTACTGTGATAAAAAAATGTATATAATATTAACAGAAGTAGTATTTTGTTGAAATTAAGTAATTCATTAGCTTCTTTTTTATATTAAGGTGGAGGGTTTGCTACCTACTTGTTTCCATGGTGATATTATTGCTCTGCCTGGAATGTTCCATGGTATGACATCTAGAATTTATTCATTGCAGGAGTTTCTATTATACAAAAATACAACAATTCGTTGTGTGAATGGGGTGAATCTCCACAGATCTGAACTGTAATAGTAATAGTAATAGTAGCGTAGAGCTATATCCTGCTCACCTCCCTCATGATTGATAGGTTTAATCTATACTATGGAACATTCTAGACAAAGCAATAACATTTCCATGGAGTGCAGGTGGCGGACCCTCCACAAAAAATGTTACGCAGTACACTTTAATAAGAATATGTGCATTTTTCCCAGATTCAGTCAGTTTCAAGCCACAGCAGACCTTCTTTATATACGCACTGTTGAATATGGGAGTTCATGTTTTATAGATGTACGCTCAGTAGATGCCTCGTCTAGCGGCACTCAAAGGAGCATGGTTTATTTATAAAAGCAAAACAAAATGATCAGAAAGAGACTTATGATCATTCACTTCCACTCTAAAAAACACAACTGCCTTTTAATGGCATTATATTATCAGGTCAGACACAGGAAAAAGCAGCTCTGCAGCCCCCATTTTGTGAAAATAAAGGGAAGTATTGTGCAACAGAGATACTTTGAGGCAAATGGGGGTGAGTCATTGTGCCCACTTGAATTCTTGGTCATTACAAGCACATGCATCATCGGACTATAAATCTAATATTGTCAGAGCTGCTGCACAGTCAGTAACATTTATTAATTTCAGTGGATTCAGGGTGAAAAAAGTCAAAATAAGCAGAAAGCATTTTTGTTAAATATTCACAAACCTGCTGAAAAGGGTTGGTCGCCTCTGGACTGCAGCGGAGGTAGTACAGGAGGATATCTGGGAAAAGAAACATGCATCAATAATACTCATAAGCATATTTGAAGGAATGTGTAGGCATGGGTGATATAACTTTTCCATCAATATTGTTAATAGAGGGTTTTCCCAGATATTATGTTGGTCCGATATTGAAAATGTAGCTTATATTTTAGTAATACTAATATTTTTTCTAACTGCTCAGGTCTCTGTGTGTCTATGCGTCATTCACCCAGGTTGTACTCAATGCATCAGATGTGTTGTTTTGAACAGACTAATGGAAATGAAAGACAATGGAGCTAAAACTATGGCTCTATGTTTATATAATCATGAAACAAACTGTTTTATACCCCAGATACATACATTTTGTTATTATTTTTACAGAAAAAAAAAGTTGCATGTTAAGTTATAGTAAAAATCACATTTCAGGGCCATTCTATGGATTAAAAAAGACAGAGTGAGAAAAGTCTGATCTAAAACCAAGAATGTATCACAAAGATTTGCAAGTTAAACATATAAATCATAAATGACATATCCATAGAAACCAGCAGATGGCAGACTCACAAATAAAAAGTTACACAGTGCACCTTTAAGTGTAGAAATACAATAAAGACGAAAGTGTAAAAAATGAAAAGACTATATTAAAAAGCAATAAAGCACCCCATGCAACCTCCTAGCCAATGCTTCTTATAGTGTACCATTGCTACCCTTTGACCAGAGCAATACAGCTGCTTGTACAATATTCCTGTTTAATTATTTAAACCTCGTGTTGAACTACAGTCCTTTTATAAAGACAAAGCTGTGGTCCTACTTAGTGCACCCAACTGTGCCTTTGTATATCAGATCGTCTACTTCAGACTATTTAGATCTCCATCTTATCCCTGTTGTTGTTGAGTATATTATGCAAAATCGATGCTTGTGAGCTTTAAGCCATGTTGTAATGTTGTTATCTCTTTGAAAACATACCTGGAGTTGTGTTTTGTTTCATTGACACATTCGAGTAATCCTTTATTTTTAGTCTGTCTACATCCCCAAAACTCAAAATGCTTTGTTCCACATTATGATGTCATGAAGCAGTAGTTTTCAGGTTAACAGCTACCCTTTCCTTTTTACTTAGTCGAGAGAATTTCAGGACTGAAATTATGCTAATTGTTCTAGTGAAGGTGCATAGAGTTTAAAAACACAGTAGAGCGCTTCCTGCATTACCATATGACATTCCATGCTAGAGCACAGAAATTTCTGTTTGAGAAAAGAACTCAGCCTAAATATGCAGGATTTGTGTGTTAAACATGAGTGAATGAAACAAAACACAAGTCTAGGTCTGTTTTTGATGAGGAAACAACATTATAACATAGATCAGAAAATAGCACAATGTGGGCCTTTTGATGCCCAAGTTTTCCCATAAACAGTAAAATATGCCTAAACAAAGATACCACTTCCAACTACAGGATTAACTTTTACACACGGCTCCCAAAACCTGCCAGTGGTGGTTTCTTTCTTGTACACATTCGTTTATTGCCACATGCTGAAACACATGTCATTCTGATCTGTCTTTTGCTTTCACTTGCTTCTGTTGCAACACTCTAGATCAGCTTTACAAATAGAATAGCATATCCTTATTGTGCTGTTTATTGCAATTCATCTTTGGGTCACCACACACAAAAGTAGCGTTGCATCATATGAGAAAATTACGTAATATTTGATAACTGCTTTATTGTATATTATTTTAGTGCTTCAATTTATTTTTCACACTATAAGTTCAGTTAAATAAAAACAAAAACAAACAAACCCTGATTTCCTAGTTTAGTCTTCATGAATAAAATATGCTTTTTTGTGTGTCTTTTTTACTGCTCTTTATTTTTTATTCCAATATTTTGTTTTGTGTAGGCCTACAGAAACGTGCAGACATATCAGCCTAAATATCACATACAGCCTAAATATTACAGTGCAATTTCAAGGTTTTTAGTTTGATCAGTTTGTTATTCCACTCAACATACATAAACTCTGCATATTTAGTTCTGTTTGAGAATTCTTCTTTCAAACAGAAAACGCTCTGTTCTACCTTGTGATGTCATGTGGTAACACAGGACATGCTCCATACATCTTCACCAGACTTTTCTTTTTCTTCTTCAGTAAAGGTTCATTCTGTCTTCAGATACAAATGTAGAATTAACTTTTAGTCAGACAGGAGAGTTTGTTTATGTGCTTTACATGTTTTTCTTGTAGCCTTCCTCAGAAGCGTCACATCATGTATTCACCAGAATTATGTAGATAATATCAGCCCTGCAGTTGCCAATCTCTACTGAACTAAAGGTAAATGGTAGCTTAAACTACTGCTTCATGACATCACAAGGTGGAACAGTGCGTTTTGAGCTATGGAAATGTAAACAGACTAATAATAAGGGTTACTCAAACATGTGTGACTGAAACTAAACAGGACTTTTAAGTGTATTTCCAAATAAAAGGTGTGCGAACTAGATGCAGGCTGTGACAGATGGCACAGATGACGTCCGCGTGGCGTTGTGTCAGGAGCTGCATTCTCACAGCTGAGTACACTACGCAGAAGAGAGGAGGATTTCCGCTCCAAAGAAAATACGAATCTCGCCCCCACATTAACTCGAATGCCTGGGGCCATACATTTCCTGAACCCAATGTCTAAACCACACAGTACAGTTTTGTCATTAGAACTGCCTACAATACTAAAAAGTTGCTTCCTGTTACTTTTCCCAATAACTTCTGTGTAAGCATTTTCACATCACTAAAGCTAAGACACAGATGCCGTTTCCATATAAATTCAGTTACTTTGTAGTCACAGCATGAGAACTCTGGAGTTTGTCATATACTCCCCAAAGCACGAATTTCTCAACTCATATGATTAGTTCAAGAAAATAATCTGCCTTATCTGCCTAAAAACATAGCCCAAAACGATTACACCCATCTTGGAATATCTTCTCTCCTTGTAGATGTGATTGCTTTGCATGGAATGTTCCAGAGTATGGCATTAAACCTATTAAATCTATTTACATTTGTTCAATTTCTTTATCTTGCTTAAAAAATTACTTGAGAAACATGCATTCTTACTAGAAATAGTGTCACTTCTCTATAGATCTGACCTGTAACTTGACCCTGTGGTGTCACCTGTTTGTCTCCATGGAGATAACTTTAATGCCATATACTGAGAAATATTCCAGATACAGTGGCAACATCTCAAAGTAGACAAGCAGATGGCAGGGCTCCCTCAAAAAGGTTATATAGTGCAACTTTAAGAATAATTTAAAATCTACTGTCAACTGTAATTTCCCCACTGTCAGACAAATAAGATAAAATAAGATAAAGACCTTTGTCTTATCTTATTCTAGTTGTAAGTAAAGAGATACTCCTGCCCACTGTTATTCACATCTTCCAAAGAAAAGTTAAAGATGATTTTCTGTAATAAAAGGGAGTGTACTGAACTTATGACCTTGAGACTGAAGGAAAGACTTATGAACACAGCACAGTCTAGGCAACGCTATGACTCACCATCAGTGTGCATGGACAGATTACAGAGGTGTGAGAGACAATGTTTACTGATACAACCTGTGCAAATAGTCCAATTCAACCTTTGTATTCAAGTACAAAAATATTTACCTTTACTGATTACTCCATACTGGTCCGCTACTTGGATCACAAATGTATCAGGAGAGGCACAGAAATCACTGGACGACTAAAAAACAAAATCAAAATTAAACAGTTAATATTTTAAGGACATTTTGTAATAAATTCTGTAACT